GGGAGGGGAGGGGAGGGGAGGGGAGGGGAGGAGAATCACTCCTACCTCCCTCGCAGGATGCACTGGGTCCTCAGGTCAGGCAGCACAGTCAAGACACCGTTCTGCTCTTGAGTTAGTCCAAACAGTCCAATAGTTAGGCTTCAGATCCAGCCTGCTTCTTGTAATGATCTCCCAGCCATGTTTCCTGCTTCTTGTAATGATCTCCCAGCCATTTTTTCCCACCTGTAAAACTCCTAGGCTGAAAAGAGAGCGCTGTGGTCCCTGTACAGCCTGTGTCATTCTATGTGCTGGTCGCTTTTACCTTAACTCCCCGAGTTCTACCTGAAATACTGTTGGTGTGATGAACCCCTAACATCCCACATTTAATAGACACGTACAATTAGATTTCAGCAACATTGAAGCACAAGCCTGAGAAACGCATGTCATCATGTCACAGAAGATGCCCCCCACCCCATCAGTATACTTTACTTTCTTCGTTGGCCAGGTTAGAAGTAGTTCCTGTTCCTGTTTCAGTTGCTTCTGTCTCAGAAATGGCTGGTCACAGGGCTGCACGTTGTATGGACCAGTCCCCACTCTGCACTTCCTGCTTGCTTGTCCCACTGAATCCCTTGACCACTGGAGGTCAGGGCCTGGTATTGTGGGACTCATCCTGGTCAGTGCTGTTGATATAAATAAATCTGCCTCCAAATCCTGGGTGTTGTTTCGGTGTTTCTGCTACAATATTGGGTTTTTTTTGTTTTTGTTTTTGTTTTTTTTTGTTTGTTTTTTTTTTTGGTGGAACTGGGGATTAAACTTGACCCTTGTGCTTGCCAGGGAAGTGCTTATTCTACTGAGCTGTCTCCCCGGCCCCTGCAATATTGTTTTGATAGTGTGGTGCATTTCACAAAATTTCCTACATTGACATTTCCCCTCTGTTGGAATCAATTAGAATGTTAGATGTAATTCTGCTAAAATTATAGTTTTTCCTATTTTTATTAAAATATATTGAAAAATATTTTTATTATGGCTGCTTCTGGTTCTGTACCTCCCTTCAGTAGATAGAAAAGAAGAATCTTATGTTTTGGCTCATCCTGTGTGGAACATTAGTTATTTTGTATGCATTGAATTTCTCTTAAGTTTTAATAAAAGTATTCCTTTATTTGTGTGGTTTGGATCCAGATTTTTATAACTTATTGTAAACTGAGAAGACATTGCACCTCAAGTGAAATGTATAAAAGCAAGTTTCTTCAAAATGCCAGGACTGCTTCCTGAGCAATTGTCACTCTTCTCAAGTAAGATGACATGTAGGCTAAGGACTTAGAGAAATTGAATTGACTGACTCATAACTTACAAATCAGCTAGGAAAACCTCTCTAGTTTATATTAGATAAGAGCCTCGTGGGGCTGGGGAATGACTCAGTGGAATAACTATTTCCCTGGCAAGCGCAAGGGCTGGAGTTCAATCCCTGGTTCCACTGAAAAGAGACTCACACCACCATTTGCTTAGCTTAGATCATGGTTAATATTGTTCTTTTAATGAGGAAAAATGGCCAGGCGTGGTGGTACATGCCTGTAATCCCAGCACTTGGGAGATTGAGGCAAGAGGATCACTGTGAGTTCAAGGCCAGTGAGAACTACATAATGAGACCCTGTCTCAAATAGATAGGTAGATAGATGAGAGAGAGAGAGAGAGAGAGAGAGAGAGAGAGAGAGAGAGAGAGAGAGATAGGCAGACAGGCAGGCAGGCAGGCAGGCAGATCAACCAGAACTGGGAACAGATTAAAATATACACTTCAAAAGCATGAAGTATATGTAATAGGATTTTTAACATACAATATAAAGATTTAGTGATAGAAAAAATACACTAGATTTGAATAGAAATGCTGTCTTCTGATAAAAAGAAAAAAGAAAAATGCTAGAAAATCCAGTGCATAAGGAAAATTAGTGGGGATCTGAAACATTTTTGTTAAGTACCTTCCTATAAGAAAAAGTTAACCACTCAAAGAAACCTATCACAATGTCAACAAATACATAAGCAGATGCTCTTTTCTTTTCCTTCACAATATTTCATTAACTCGTAGAGCTCAGTGTTTTCTTTTTTTTTCACTTTATTTTTTTGTGTGTGTTATGTTTATTTTTTTGACATCAGTTATTTTTATTTTAAAGAAAAAAA